GCTATTGGTAGGGCTGGTTGGTTCCTTCTGGAGTTTTCAAGTGAGAATCCATTTCTTTGCCTTTTTCAGCTCCTGGAAGCCAGCTGCATTTCTTGGCTAAAGGCCCCTCACTCACATGAGTCTAGCCATTGGCTCTCTCCTCCTGTCTTCTCATTCTGATCCTTTGTATAATGATCCTTGTGCATATTCCGGATTCACTGTGAGAGCCCAGGATGATCTTCTCATCTCAAAATCTTTACATTAGCCTAGCAGGGTGGCACACACCTCTAACCCCAGCCTCCTCAGGGGCTGAACCAGGTGGAGCACAAGCTCAAGCCCTTTGAACGTAACATAGAATAGACTGGTGTCGTTCAAAGGCTTTTTGTATGCTCACAGTTGCAAACACTTTTTGACTGTTTGCTGTATGTTAGGAAAAATGTTGGAGTTGTTTTATTTCCTTTAAGTTTTGGAGCCACTCTATGAGGTCAGTTCTGTTATTTTCCTCATTTTCAGATAGTATGATGAAGGCTAGAGAGGTTAAGTAAATTAGCAACAATTATTAAAGCACCAATTTTTTAGTATTTAATCAGATGGATACTGTAGTATTCTATATACATGATTCCTTTTAATCTAAAAAGGGCAGTGAATCAGAAAATGTTATTAACACCTACATTTTATCAGAGACTAAATAATGTTCTGAATGCCATGCAGCTTGGAAGGGGCAGGGCCAGGGTACAAAGCTGATATATTGGGGGGATCATATTATGTACCACTCTGCTCCATGGAGAGAGGGACTTGTCCGGTTGCAGAGTTAATATGTAGCAGAGCTGAAGCTAAGACAAATAGCACCTGTCCTCAAGGGGGTTGCTTCTCTAATTACAGGATTTGGTAGTTGAGTGCTGCCTTAGCTTTCAGAGATTCTGTCAGTGGAGGGGAAGGACCAATTGCTGACAGACTTGGAAGGCTGAGTACAACCAGGGCCACAAGCCACCACAGCAGGATGTGATCCAAAGAAAAATCAGAAAAGTGAGACTATTGCTGAGGAGGCTACTGAGGTACCCTTGTCACTGGCTGTTAGGCGGTTTGCAGACTATACAGCTGGTGGCAAAGGGATTACAAAAGGGTATTAACCATTTCTTTGCTACTCTTCTGGCTGACTAACGTCAGTGAATGAAAACCTCTCAAGAGCCCAGATTACATCAATGATACCTATAGTGATTGTGCTAAGAGGACAGCTGGGAAGTCTTTTGAATTGGATGTTCAGACTGTGCCAATATGATCCCATTTTAAAGGGATGAATGTAAAACAAGGAAAATGAAGGGAAAACTAATTTAAAAGTGATTTTGAAGGAGAGCTTAGACCTTTAAAGAATATTGTTAGAACTGCCAATGTCTTGAATGTGCTAAATTTGAAAAACGTCTTAGAGATGAGAAAGAAGGATTTCTAAAAACATAGGCATGCCTACAAAAACCCCTTCTTAAAAATTAGGATGATCTTCTAACTAGACAGGTGAATAAACAAATCAAATCAGAATTTTAGAGCAAATTTAGAGAATCTAGGCTGTGCTATCTCCCCGGCTCTTAAGAAGCTGAAGTCCTCTGAATACATTATTCATTTACCCAGGCAGTAGACAGTTTTGAGTGTGTATAGTTAGCCATGTGCTATGTCCCAGAAGCACTATTCCACTCTCCTCACCTCACCCTTCTTTGGGGCCTGGTCTAGTGGCAGTGAGACAGTTCACATATGAAATAGTAATGCTGACATCCTATTGAGTTATCAAGGAGAAAACAGAACTAGGAAGTTGAAGATGGATCAATATTCCAACCTCAACATCTAGAGAAATGTCTATGGATTTTAGACCCTCAAATATGGTGCTGATCTCACCAGGCCTTCTGAGATAAGATCCTAACTCTTCTCTCAAATGAATCAAGGGATCCTTGACACAAACAGGGCATTGCAACTACACATACGTTTCAAGGAAGGTCTGAGCTCCAGTGTGAGCATTTAGTTAGTTATCTTTCATTCCTAGTTGAGTTTCAGGATGGGTTTATATTCCTAGGATGGAAATAATGTTTCCACGAGTGTGGAGGCTTTACCTCATTGTCCTCAAGTTATTCAGAGTCCCTTTCCAGAAATGTGTGACCTGTTTTTTCCTTTGTATGGATGTTTGGAGTCATCTTTTTATCTCTGTTCTGAAATTTCACAAAGATTTTCTTTGATATTCGTCTTTTCCCATGCACAATGCTTTTCCCTGGCAGGAAATTTTACTGAAAGCTCTCACCTTCCGGCTTAGTGGAAGCTCTTGTGTTAAGACTCCCTCTATTTTTTCTCTTCTATTTCTGGAAGTCCTATGGGACGGTATCTCTATCTTGATCTTACTTTTATGCTATTTTTCATATTTTTTGTATCTCTTTACTTTCCAATTTTATTCTTTGAAAGACAGTTCCAATTTATTGAATTCCTCTACCAATAATGATCCTCCTGTCTCAGCCTCCACAGTGCTGGGATTATAGACATTGCCACCATGCCTGGTTTCAGGGGCTGGCCTGGCACTCCAGGGATTCTGGTGCAGGCCCAGCAGGTGGTAATTGAATCTGGGTCCTTGCACTTGCCAGGCAGGAACTTAGACCACTTAGCTATCTCCTAGCCCTGAAATGTTCTACTTTTAAATAAGATCACTCATAAAGGAAATATATTCTCTTATAACTTTGAGACCACATATATAATATATAGCATATATATCTATATCTATCTATATCTATCTATCTATCTATCTATCTATCTATCTATCTATCTATTTCTGTTTGCTTTTTCCTACTTCTTGAACTTCTCTGTCCTTGCTAGTTTCTTTCTCCTCTTCTGTCATTTGACTCTTTGAATGTCTGGGTTTCTTCAAATGTTCAATGAGCCTATTTTTATATAAGGCTCTGGAAGGATAATTTGGAAGCTCTGTTAGACAGGGCTTTCATCTTGTAGGTATTGTGTGAGGATATTGTGACATCAGTCTATCTTTAAGTTTGCTTTTCTTTTTTGGATGGTCAGTTTCCTCAAAAAGGAATATGTAGCTGCCTGCATACTTGGTAATGAAAGTGGGGACACACTGTTTATAACAAAGTCCTTTAGTTATCTCCTTTTCCACTTCAAAGGAAAGTGTGCCATCTGTTTCCTGCTTATTATCCTGCCCAACAGCTTATGGTTGTGCCAGAAATCTCTCGTCCAGCGCCCCCTGGTTCAGCTTATTCATTATCTTTGCCACAGGTTAATTGAGAGAACAAATGTTGGTGCTGAACAACATGTCATAAGAATAGTGCTATGCATAGCATGACTCCAGTAATTTAAAACTCTATGTACACATATGCCTCCAAATAGTATGATATGCTTTCTCATGAAAAACCTATATAGTAATACCTCAGTTCATGAATGCTTCTGTTTGCGAACAATTCAGTTTTTCGTAAAATTTTGTTTTCGTTTGCCAGCTCTGCATCAGACGATGCGCACATCTCAACCGTCTTCCCTGCTCTGACAGAGAGACATGGATTCCTCTTCCTGAGACCATGGCCACAGACAGACCTGTCTGAGCTCATCCCATGCTGCACAGTATTACTTAAATCAATGCAGCTCCAAAGAAAAAGCAGAGCAAGTGTGGTGGTAAAAAGAAAGTGCCGAGCAGCAGTGAAAGTGACAAGAATGTACAGAGCAATAATAATGAGTTAAGTAAGGTTAGTGCTCTCTCGCCTCACATTGTGCTGTATTTAGTCCATACTTTCCGGTTTAAAATACATACAGTTCAGAACAGATTAACCTTCTTTACATTGAGCCTTATGAGGAAATTTGATTTGGTTTATGACCAATTTGGTTAGAATCAGGGAACAAATTAAGTTCATGAACCAGGATGCTGCTGCCTTGCCACTGTCTGACTTGATCTCCTGCACTAGGCTGTCGAAGACCAAACCAAATGCGCAGAGCAGCGGGGATCCACTATTCATAGGAAGACCTTCTGTCATCCCTGCTTTTCTTTATGATAGTGGGAAGGATGGTAGATGAAATCAGAACGAGGTCACTCATGCTATGTGCACACAATGACACTGAAGGTTAAAACTGACCGCTTTCCCTAAAAAACAAAGATTCACCGCAGCTAGTGCAAAGGGCCCAGTCAACCTGACCTAGAACGAGAAATATTCTCTGCTTTACTCCCAGAAGAAAAGTAACTGGCAGGACCAATCTGCATTTTTCTCCGTTTCTTCTTTCTTCAGCCTCTTTTTTCCCCACTAGAGAAACTTCTCTGCTCATTGTATTAGAGCCCATTTCTAGTTCATAGATGGAAAGCTTGCTCAAATTAATTAGCTAATCATCACTGTAGTTAGTTTCTTGAGGTGTTTTTTTCAGATTTTTTTTTAATTCTAAAAACAAGCAATACATTTCACTTTTCTGTGCACTGATTTTTCTTATGCAAAATGCACTGTTGGAAACTATATTTTCCACTAAATTAAAAAAAAAGTATTATGTTTCCGAGCATCCAGTGTTACCATTCCCACCCACTAAAAAACATTCCATTGCTACTCAGAAAACATCAGTTTTTCCCCTGAAAATATTTTCAGAAGCTCTGTGATCATTTTTGTTTTATTTTTGAATTCTCTGCAAGAGTGAAGATGAGGGAAAATTATACTGCAGATTTTTGCTTTATGCACATTATAATTAAATGATGAAAAATAATTTGGAGTAAACAAAGTACTAAAGCATTGAGCACCTTATTTGTAACCATAGTTTTAAATCGTAAGTGGATCTTTTTTTTCTAGATATGGGAATAAGAAATAAGACATCCCCTCTTACAACAAGAGTCAGATTCCATTAAGTTTTCCTGCTTGCCCAAATTAGCAAACAATATCATTTATTTCTGTTCATCTTAATTATTGGTCATTAGAGAAACCCAAAACATTGGATCATAAGGAGTCCCTTTAGGCCCTACAAATGTGGCTTGAATAGTAATGCCCTACAAAATAATACATCAATTTTAGAAATACCTTTTTGGAAAGAATTACTTCAAAACTTTCAATAGTCTTCTTTCTGTTGCTTGTTTCTGGCTCCTCTGAGTATCAGTGCAAGCAACACACCTATTTGTAGCTTTTCTACTCTCTGGAATAAGCCACCCGCTGCTACTCGTGTTCTGATAAGCCTGTAACTTTTCTCTGACTGTGTGCTCTACTACACCCTCACTGGCCTCTACTAACAAAGACACACCTTTGAAAAGTATGCAGGAAACACAGTCACTTTTTCCGTGTTGTAAACTCTTAGCATTGAGTAAGTATGTGTTTGCTATGTAAGCAATTAAATAAAGCCATTACGAATAAGGAAAAATTCTAGATTGTTCTAATGAATGAGCAGTTTTGGAAAATGGCTACAGCAGCTATTAAGTGTTCAAAAGGGAGTTGAGCTTTGCCAGATATCTTCATTCTGTTACTGAACATGCACTTCAAAGAGATTTTTATCTTGGGCTCAGGTTGGTTTCCTAGCAATTAACACGTTGTGGTTATTTAACAGGACCAAATGAAGTGGTTTAAAACTAAACTGACAAGAGCTTTCCTCATACCTGGGATGCATACTGTGCCCATGCAGAGATTTTCCATCATTCAGATGGTTGTGCATCCAGCACAAACCTAGCTGACCCAGCCTCAGGTGAGGAGCACCAGTTCCCCTAGTTCTCTGCAGCTTCATTAGTCTCTCCTGGAGGACCATACAGAACACGAAGCAGAAGAGTGATGCTGCTCAGAGTAGAGTTCTCTGCACTTGGGATATATTCATAAGAGTCTGCTGACTCTGGATGAGTCTGAATTTTGATTTTCTTCAGGTTTTGCTTACTAACTAAATAATTTACTTTTCTCATGAAACTACCACTTCTTTCCTTCCTTTTAAAACTTCCTGCTGGACTGTTTTTATCTTTTAATTTTAATCAACTTTCACATTCACTTTTTATTAGGAATGAGAACAGACGATTGTGTAGCTTGGTTTCTGTTATCGTTTGTGTGTCCTGTCCCCCCAAAGGCTCATGCAGTCATGGGGAGGGACAGGCTTTTCAGATGTGGATGAGTCTAATTTGCCACTGATTGATTCATGGTGCAATGCTGGGATTATGGGTGTGAGCATACACTGCCCTAAGGCAGGTAACCTGCATACAATATATGGGACAGAAAGAGGCCTGTCTCTCTCCCTTCTCTTGTAGCTCTTGCTGACTTCCATCACTGTGAAAGGCTGCACCTCCCAAGTGCCACCCTGCAGTGGCAGCCAATTGGAGCCAGCCAGTTATGGACTGATATCTGTACAAACTGAGCTAATTTCCCCTTTAACTATGCATACTTGGTATTTTGTCTTATCAATGAGAAAAGGACAGTATTCTTCCTCCACCTGGCCTCACTGGGGACTATGATGCAAGACTGGAACTGATGCTGTAGGTTTAGCATTTGACCCTGAGTGAGCTGACTGGCTCTGCTTCTGTCTTAGCCAAGAGTCCCAGACTTGGAGCACCGGAGGAGCAGTCAGGCAAAAGAGGGGAAGGCTGGGGTGGGGAAATACAGAACCCTGGGAAGAAGCTCCATCTCTGTGCCAAGGTTTCTGTTTAAAATCATTCACTGGCTTTTCATCCATTCGGGATTTTCTATTTCCTTCATCTGCCTGGTCAGCCCAGGTATCAGAATTAAAATCTAGTTCAAATAAAGTAACCAAAATTGTAATTTAATTTATAAAGACTACAAGTGACAACTGCGTCCTCCTGATTCTAGAGCCACCCAGTATTTCTCTGTGGAACAGGCCAATATGAACACAGCAGTGAGGATGCAGCTCTGTGGGAAATGGAATTCAGCCTTCAGCAGCAGGGAAGCGTCTTTCTAAGCACAGAGCAGCCATACCCATTTCCCTTCTGTGAAGGAGCAGGCCTGCCGGTAGCATTCTGGGTATCCAAGTTGCTTGCAAAGAAATGAAGTAGTTTTCAGGGGATATCCATCAAACTAGAGAAGAGGAAAACCTATTTCTCCTTATCTGTCTGACTATAGCTCTTGATGTAAGTAAATCTATTGAGGTTAGTTTGAAGAAAGGAGAAAACTAGTGCTCATTTTATGCTCTTTCTGAGGTAAACAATAATTTATCATTAAAAGTGACAGCATTCTGGCAGTTAACTTCAAAAATCAACCAATTAGCTAATTAATTGTTGATCTTATCAAGTATAAGTTAGGATGCTTTTGCTTGAAAATAACAGAACATTTAGTTCAAAAATTAAGTGGAAGTTCTTACATACCAAGGAGCCTGAAGTGAGGGTGTTCTCATGAATCATTAGATGAAGACATCACTTATCACATCATTAGCTTAAGACACACCAAAGACACTGTCTCATCTTTCTGATTTACCTTCCTCAGCACACGTGGGCTTCTTCATCCTACTTTCCTGTGGTCACAAGTTGGCTACAACAGCTTAAAATGTCATGTATCCACACAAAAATACCCAGAGGTTAAATGGAATAACGTCTTTCTCCTGCCCTATTTTTAGTTAGTACCCTGTAGATTCTGCCTCCTGTCTCAGCCCGCCAGTCCCTGGCCAGTAAAGTGAGGTGGTTCTGCCTCCTTCCCCCCCTATGTCTGAGGAAGGTTTGTGACTGAACACTGCCCCAGAAGGGGTAGCAAAGCTGTGAATGGGCAAAGGTGGTCCCACTTCCAGCAGTATCTGCCAAACTGATCAGTGTAATTTTCCATTCCATAAAAGATAGTAATGTGAGATATCAGACTGACTCTCCCAGCTCCCATTCTGCTTACAGAGAAAGTAGCTCAGCACCAAGGCTGTCATCTGCAGATGCAGGATAAGCTAGGACAAGAGATAAAATAGGACAAGGAATCTTGCAGGTCCCTGAACATCTGGGGACATATGGAGCCAGCTGAAAATTTACTCAGGATGCTTCAAGGGCTTTGACATTGAGATGCAAGGCTGCCAGAGAACTTTGACCATAGATGTTCATTAATATTTTCCTGCCGAATGTCCCTTGCTGTCTTTCAGTCCCTCTAAAAGGGGGCAGAGGCACAGATTCTTCATTCCCTGCAGATGGTCTTTTTGCCTTCTACCTGCCTGCGTCAAGGCACAATAATTTCCATGCCATCTTCCCTTTACACAAGCCTTGAGGTCTCTGCTGTTTGTTGCAAGTATTAATATTTTTAAAGCAAACAAATTAATATTGATATTAATCTAATAAATGTACATAGATGTTATGATTCTGAAATAGAATAACCCCCCAGACTCCCATATGTTCAGAGGAGATCTTTTGGAAAGTGATTGGATTATGGTGCTATTACACTCATCACTGGATTCATCTATTGGTGAATTTGTTATGATTTGTGTCTAGGTGTTCCTGCAAAGCCACATGCAGTCATGAGGCAGGCTTCTAGATTTTGTGATTAATTTATGACCCAATGCTGGGTGTTTGGGTATGAGTGCTATAACCACCCTGGGGCAGAGAGCCTGAATGCAGTATAAAGAAGGGTGAGAGGGGCTTGCTCTCTGCCACTGCTCCTTACTTTTTGCTGTCTTCTGCCTCTCAGCCATGGAGCTTTGGAGCCAGCAGACAAACCTTGAGCTGAATAAACATTTCCTTCCTTAATTATGGGCATCATGGGGCTGGTAAGATGGCTCAGTGGTCTAAAGCACCTACTTAGAACAAGCTTAGCAAAGCACAGGGACCGCAGTTCAATCCCCCAGCACCACATGCCAGCCAGCCCCGCCCTCTGGTGGGCTGAGCTGGCCACACACACACACACACACACACACACGCACATAAATAAAATTAAAAAATTATGGGCATCAGGTATTTTGTCCTGGCAATGAGAAAAAAGTAACTGAGACAGAATTCATAGCTGAGGGTCAGGGAGATAAGTCAGTAGAATAAGTGCTTGCCTGGCAAGCGCAAAGTCCTGAGTTAAAAAAAAAAAAAAGAATTCATAGCTAAATGTGCTACTAGTCTGCTGGTGGACACCGCGGAGGAAGCATCATCAGGCTCTCTTCCGACTGCCGTCATGTCTAAGTCAGAGTCTCCCAAGGAGCCCGAACAACTACGGAAGCTCTTCATCGGAGGGCTGAGCTTTGAAACAACTGATGAGAGTCTGAGGAGCCATTTTGAGCAATGGGGAACACTCACAGACTGC